AGCTCCTTCTAAAAACAATTGCGTCGATACACATCATGATTTGTTGAGAACAGTATATCTTTCACCCTAAAAGAGCCGGGGTGGTTCCCCAAGAACTCGCACGCCAAATTCGGCGTGTATGTAACATGCTCAGCAGTGCAAATTATAAAAAAAATTTCAATTCAATCTCACACGAGGTATTGACACCATGCATGGTTATTTGAACTTCATGGCTACGTGCGCAATAGTAACTGACAAGTATGCATTTTGGCTGACGTGTCTCGGGGAAAAAACGACATGACCAAATCCCAAATTTTGGTGTCAAAATGAACCCAAAAGTTGTGTCAAAATGACCCAAAAAGTTACTACGCAACAAAATAAAACAAACCATACTTGAGTGTTTGGAACGTGAAAATTGCACTGCGACGATATTGGGGTGAATGTTGGGGGAGGGGGGGATTCCGCCCCCAGCTCTTCGTTGTCAAATCAAGTTCCACACCCTGGAACAATGCAATAGTCATGGGAACATTATATGATCAGTGAAAGAGGTTGCAGCAAATGTCATTGTCAGTAACAAAAATATTCCTGAGTGATTGCCCGCGACTGTCAATTTTATACACATTAGCAGAGTCCTCCTCAAAGGTATAATTATTTTGAACTCATTTTAAGTGTTAATGAATAGGGGCATTTTAATAAGTCCATATCGACGCTACCTTTCTTTTTTTATTTCAAGATAACAAGTCGTCGGCATAGGCCTTTTGGTTAGTGCTAACGGTCCAGGAAGCCACACCTGACCACTCATGGGGGATTAAAGTGTAAACATGACACACCAGGCTGAAGTAGCCTGTTGTTTGGACTGGCATTCCAGTAAGTGTGTCGATTATAGCAAACGTTCTGTAATTACTTTGAGATATCATTCTTGAAAATGTCTTCAACAGCGCTCAAACAGGGAGGGCAACGAAAAAAAGCCTTAAAGGTGCCGTTCTGATGTAAAATATTGCAGGAATGTGATACATATTACATCTGTATCATGAACATCACCCCCTACAGTGTCATATGGTGTCAGCACCTCGCTTTTCAAGTTCCATGGCCGGTCAACTCTTCCCCACACTGTCCCCCCTCCCCATTTTCGGCAAAAATTTACGCCACTGGCAACGATGCTCGCTAATTGGAATCCAAAGCTGAGATAATTGCTCACTCGCTTGAAATAATTGTTTCTTAAAAATCGATAACTGGCTGGCATTCAATTAGTAAGGGCGTCATAGATTCTTAATATAAAGCGTGCGTGACAGTTCAGCAGTTAATTATACAGATCTTTGATAGAGTGAAGGCCTAATTGAGGTTCTTCACAATAGCGCGGCGATGAGGCATAGATGTGAAACAGGAGCCGGGTTTTTGTTTATTTTTTAATGTGATCAAAATAGTATGTGTGAGCAGGACTTTCTTGATGAAAAGATTTTTATCAGTTTCGATGACTTTTCAAAGATGTCTTAAACAATTTAATCGATAGAGGCCTTTTTATGTCGTCTTCTTGGATGTTAATGTTTGCCACACGGTTTTCGTGGTTTTCTTGTTCTTGTTATGATTCCCTAGAAACAAAGCAAATCTAAAAGAGGAGAGTTGGGTTGGCGTAGTGGTCCTTTCCTCGCCTTTTCCACCGGGTTCGATTCCTAACTTGGTCCACATGTGAATTTGGTTTTCAGTCCCTATATGATTCCGTGCGTTTTACCCAGAATATTCCTCTGGGGTTTTCCTCCCACGTCTAAAACTGTAACTGCTTCTCATTGTCTCTACAGATGTCTTCAGACTTACGAGCTACAGTGCCCAGGGCGCTTTTGAGGAATCCTTATAGTGTTATTACAAGAAAAAAAATAATAGTGAATTAGTTTTACCTTTCCCACAAAATTTATAGTGACTAAACGCCGCCCCCCCCCCTTAAAAAAAAATCTCGAGGCTGCTAGCATTAAAAGACCTGTTTTCCAACATATTTTATTCTGGTCCAGCCCACTCTAAAACCTCTGAGTAAGCAACATTTGCTACACTGTTGTCTTCAGTTGCCAGATTCGACCTTAAATTCCGATTGAGTTAAACAAATGATGATTAATGCATACACATCCAGAAATGTCTGAGCTATCGACTCTTGACCCTACTACGGTACCTGTCTGTGGTTGATCAAAATCCAAACAAGTAGGGACTCGTTTATCATTAGTTTACTTATATCATCCACTTGGAAAATTCAAGGTTTCGTTTTTAGCGTCTAATAGAGAAATTCTCTTTTTCACCCTCAGCAGTCGTAAAAGCCAAACCCGGATACGACTCAGAGGGCAACAGCATTTTCCCCAAGGTCGGAAATCAGATTGCGATGCTAATCGCGGGTCGACGAGTCGACCTCGTGATCGTGCATGTACACAGAAAGTTTCAATCTGCAAACGTAACTAAAGGTGACAAACAGTGAAATCTTCCCACGCATATCGCCGTTGTCTGGAGAACATTCATGAAACAGTAATAACTTTCTTCATACAGTCCCTGTTTGGAAGGCTGAGGGACACTTTGATATAAACCTTTTTTTTTTTTTGGTTGGGTCAAATTCCTACATACACAGCGTCAAAACTACTGATTTCCTAAAAGCAAGTTAAGAACATCCAGGAATGTGCCAGACTTGGTTTTGTTCAAAATAACTCCCTGTAACTGACCATAGTGGACGTAGCTCTTTAACTCGTCACAACTTTTATGATCAGCGAATGCACCCAGACACAAATCTACATGGGTCAGTCTCTTACCTATCTCCTTCATCCTGTCAAGGAATCCTTTCAGCTTCTTCTGTCGTTTGTCTTCTCTTTTCCTCTCCCATTCCAGCGCCTTCTCTACCATGTACTCGGCTCGTCGTGACGGTAGCTTGTACTCCTCCGACGCCGGCTTGACGGCCACTTCACTCGCCACTAAACTCCCTGCGCTATTCCGGTGGTACTGCACCACACTCGTTACCACCGGAGCCTGATAGTCAGGCAGGCGGAATGTTCGATTAGGGATGCCGATGTGGTACTTGTTTCTTGATCTAGATCTCTCGCTCTGTTTGCGCTTCATCGTCTCCTTGGTTGCTTGATCTTTGGCTCTGTCCGTCACTGCCGTAACATCGTCCTCAAAAACCGAGTCTCTGCCCTCGTAGGACGTTCCCTCATCGTAACTTTGGCAAGATTGATCTTTGGAAATGTTTGTTACAATCCCGGGTAAAACTTTATTTCGGTTTATATCACCTTTTTCGAACTCAAGAGCAGTCCTCACATTTGTTTGTATGGCTTCTCTGGAAAAATGAGGTCTGGAAATGAGTCCTGTTCCGTTTTCTTTAATAACAGACTTTTCTTTCAGAGATGGAATGAGTGGTACATTTGCTTTTGTAACCATTTCTAGAACCTCTGATGTTTCTCTATTCGGAATTGCCCGTAGTGACGATAATGAATTTTGAGATGGCGACCGTCTAGACGTTGATTGAGACGTGGTGGAGCTGTGGATTGTTTCTTTAGAATGTAAATAATCGCCAGAGTGAGAAGATCTGGTAAAGTGACTGGATCCGTTTTTCAAGGCTGTGCTGCCTGCGTCCATCTTGATTCCACCCGTCGTTTCCTTGTCTCTTTCCTCGCTTATCTCTGGCAATGGCGGAGGGAATACCTTATCGTCATCATCCAGAGTCTTTTCATTGTGTACCTCCGTCATGATCATGTTTCGCAGTCTGTCTTGCGCCTCTTCCCTCTCCCTCACCGCCTTCTCTCTCAGCTCAATCTGCATCTCCCTCTGTTTCCTAATGTGAGCCCGCCGCTGAATGCGTCTCTTCTCGTTCTGAACGCGAATGAGATTGCGGAACATCTTCTGCTGCCCGCGGGCCAGTTTGGCCACAGCAATGCGCTGGTCTCGATGCCACATATTCACCTGTTTCCGAGAGGAGACATCGTGGGCATGGTTGCTGCATTTCACCTGCGTCCCCAGCTCCGATGAGCGAGTGTACTTCAGCACACCGATGTCGTCAGCCTTCAGGTGTTTCAGCCCCATCAAAACTTTGCTGACTGATTTTTCCTTTGTGCTGGACAGACCGGCACTTAGACCTCTGTTCAAGTTTGGGTTGTCGGTAACTAATGTGCCGGCTTCCTCCATGGTGATCTTTGAAATACCCGTAATAGATACTTTGCTGAAAGGTCGACGGCTAGACACCCCACTTCTTTCACAAACCTGAAACTATATATATCTGATATTTTTCACACTGCATTGTCATGTTGCAATTGATTCGGCACTTCGTTGAAAATGCTGTTATCACGTTGAATCCGGGTGCACAGGGCGCTTTGTTGGCGTTAACTCTGGGCTTCAGTTCTTGTGAGTTTGTGGATCAAATGAGACTGAAATGGGATCTACAGGACCAACTGACAATGCTTGGCAGGAACATGCAAAACATGGGAACAAAAAGTGTGCAAAACGCTTCCGTGTTTTAATACAAGTTCCTTTTGAAAGTCTCACCGTCAAGTGCGTCACCAACACCGGCGCTTTTGGCAAGTAAATTACTTGAAATGGTGTTAGTGAACTCCGTGGTTTGATTAAACTTTGGTTGGAACATGTATGGATTAAAGTAGATTCAATCAACGCCGAAGTAACGTAATTCCCTCCGGCTATGTAAAGTGTCATAATAGTTTACCTGACCGATCAACACTCGATATAGATCCGACAGATGCATGAGGTGGTGACATCAGCTCCGTCGATAAATTTCCGAGACTTTTGAAAATCAGACCGACCACACTGTACTTTGGTGAAATTCTAATTCCGCATTAATAACGTATCCGAGTTTATGGTGTTGGCAAAAATCAGTGAATAGGTTACAACTTTATTTTTCCATTAACTGGAAACTTGAAGCTGAAGAAGTTATACAATGTTCATGTATTTCAAAAGCTCCGACTGACACGATCCTCAAACAGCACAGAATTTTAGTCAATTTTCTGACTCGCCTCAAGGTAGTTCTTGCAGGCCCAAAGAAAGCATTGCTCCGTGCGTAAATATTTCCATCCCGTCTCACCATCAGTCCTTCAGTGATGTGTGACTCGACTCAACAATCCATCTCAATAAATGCATTCGTTCAGGCATTTCTCGTCAGTTTGCCGTTAACTTTTTGAGCGCCGTAAACGAGGCGTATTTTAAGTCTTTCTGTCGCCGTTGTGGATCCCATAACCCAGAGATGTTTAGGCTCTGTCCTCGTCACTTGTGAGGTTTCAATGTAGTATGCGAAGGAGAACGCGAGAAAAAATAGCAGAGTGGTGTCAAATCACCTCATCATCCTTAGTATAACGACAAGTTCTGATAAACTACGTACATGTATTTTATAAAAGATAAAACAAAGTATATAGAGACTTTGGCAAAGAGTCCAAGAGCAGAATAAAATACGACCACCGCAAGCCGAGGTGCATCAGTAAATAGATCAGTTAATAAAGTCATGATAGCAATGTTGTTTGAGAGGTTGCGGCAGTCACCAGTTCCGACGGCCAATTTATGATCTTGGCCCCAGACGCGGAGCTGACAAGATCATTATTTGCAGTACAGACTTCCCTGGTTTGAAATACACTTGCCATGATATCAGGGGTCGGCTTTCCAGGATCCAAGATGAAATAACTATAGACATTGGTTGCAACTTTCCAAACCAGTTGATAACCACACGTATTTAATCAGAAATTGTCTTGAAAGTGAAAAGCCCAACGCCACAATAGGGACACTAGAGAACACGACGTAAACCATTAATGAAAAAGAAGCTTATCAAACTGCCGTCGGGCACACAACAATTCTGCTTCCCAGGTAACGGGGTTGCTCCCCTTGGCCATCGGATTAGTCGGTGCTTTCGTCTGCTGGCAGGTACCCCCCACCGACTTGCATCCCCCACTCGGCAAACGCTGCCGCTAGTGTTTGCCCCTTCAATCACAACAATTGACTGACAGTGAAGTGCTTCTGTGGAGTATTTAAGAACTTTTATTTGAAAAGATTTGGGCTCTATTTTTGGACCGAGGGGGACAGTTCTTGTTAGGTTTAGAGTGCTACATCACGGGCCCACTGGCGGTACTTTTCGTTAGCAATTACAGTAATGTCTAAAACGCGCAGAAGGAAATGGAGAAACGATCGAAACCACTGTTGCGGGCTGGTCGATTTTAATCAAAGAATAAAGTGTGGAATTTATTTCTTCCGAAAATGATTTTTACAGAGCATTAATGAAGGCCTACTTCTCTGCTGGTGTGAATGATTTTACACTACCTTTAAAATGGAACGTAAAATATTTCACTAAAATTAATTACGGCTTCCTTTATGTATTTTGTGATTGTAAAAACATAGCCTTATTATAGAATGACGTCATGTCGGTGCTTTCCTCTGTAGTCTGTGCATAGTAGGCTGGGTGGTCTTCATCGGTAGGACTGGTTACACTTATCACAGGCATACAGTCAAGAAAATTCTCAGGGAAGTTCACTGACGGGCATACTAATTCCTTTCTTGTTGGGAAATAGCACAGTTGTATTGGAAACAACTGTCATTCAAGAAAGAATTGATTCAAAGTCTAACACTCGGGACATTCATTTGACGAGGAATTTTTCTGATGGGCAACACAGCTTATCATGTTACCCCGCTACTTTGCAATTGATCCTGACGGTAATCAAAGATTGTCAACAAGAAAATACCAGCATTCATAGCCGACTAGTAGCGGTATCCCAGGTGACCAAAGTACACTGTACTAATTTACAGGTGCAAACCTAACCAAATAGACTGTCTTCAAAATTGGTGCTATTGACTGATGGACTTCGATTCGCATAGAAGAGATGATCTCTGCTGGGGTCCTGCAGCTAAATTTATCAGCTTGAAAAATGACGGCACCAACTCAATCGTGACATGAAAATTAGGGCGCTAAACGCTTGTCAAGTACCATTAAACTGGTCTGATAAGCAGGTGTATGCAATGAATGAGACACCCCCAGTTCATCGAGAGTAGAGCACGGCGCACACGGGTAACGCCAAAAAGCACAACCTTCAATATTTTTGTGTCTGTCGTATGGAGACCAATTTCCTCTCTGTCACCGACTGAAATGGCGATGAGTGGATTATACTCGACGAGTGAACATGTACCCTAAATCGTCTCGTTTCTACAGTGTATTTTGTCTGAAAGAGCGAATTTTCACCCTTGGAAGTAAGATTGACATAACAGGACATTCGCTTTTTTCTCTCTCGAATACACTCTATCTCTTGAATGAAGAAATCGTTTACATATATGAAATTAAATAAGAGTTAAGTATAGGTCCCTACTTGTACACTGTACATCATAACCTTCGAGAAAACAAATTACCGACACAAATTTCCAAAACAAGTAAATGGGTCTGAAATATAGTAATGAATTTTTGAAGTCAAACGTTCAATCGTTCAATTTAGGCATTCGATCATCGACAAAATGACACTAAATTTCTTATGTGCGTGACTTGTGCGAACTCTCCACAGAATAAACGGCATGCAGATTAAACGCGTCCCAGGCCAGCGAATGTTGTGGAGTAAAATTTGTCTGCGTCACTGGGTGGTTTTTGAATACACTTAATGGTCACACAAACAACAATAGCTAATCTGATATTTGTCTGGATAAAAATCACAGGTTCGTTGAAATCAATTTCCATACTTTTTTATTCAAATATATACAGCTTTACATAGAAAATAAAGACCATTTCCACCAAAACGGACGGATGAAAATAATGAATGTTCATTAAGACAAACTGCTACAAATCTTACAAATTTATAACTAGGTGTAATTCCCTGAAAGCATTATAAAGGAAAACTGTTTATCTGTTTTGATTTGCCTTATAGGTATTACTTGAATACAATACATTTGTGATTCCAATTTTTCCTTTGCAGTGGAAACATTTGAAGTTCAAAAAGCACAAAAAGACTTTTGAAAATGGACTGTTTCTCATACACGAATCTCAATGGAAGTTCTCCATATTTCATAATAGAGTTTGGTTTGATTGACATGTTTCTGGTAGACCAACAACTTGATCTCATTCTCTTATGTGAAGAGAGGTAGCATTCTCCAAACTGAGCTGACATCAGTTGCTACGTGTCGTCCTAAAAATTGTTCGCGTACACCCAACATGTAATGCACAGTGCTCATCTATGGACATATAAATATTTAAATCAAGTTGACCCTGGGAGGTCACAAGAACAGCATGCTGACCCTTCCTTGACTTGTGACACGATGGGGCAGAATTCAGATTATGTTATGCGGAGTTCTTCACGTCTTCAAACATGCTTGGTCCGTAATTTATGAAAATTAAAAAAGGGTGACCAGACTGAAAATTGGACAGCAAGAGGATACCCTGCCATCGTAGTTATTCAAACCACACTCTGTAGAGAGGAAGACTGAACTGTGTTCCGTCAGATTCAAACATCAAAACACTGACTGTGCACCCTCCATCAATCTTAAGAGGGCACCCTCTCTTGGTCAGGTGGTAAGGAAGTCATACTCTCGCACCATCCTGCATGTCACCACAAGCGTCTCTTTGTCACTGATCCACTGCGCTTTCCCGTTCTTGCTGTCCACAGGATGTGGTAAGTGAAGGCCAAGCTTGCTGTATGGAGAGAACAAAATTTCAAGATGAAGGGCGCCCTCTGTTGGCAAACCTCTGCTCAGTGCCCAGTTCTACATCACTGTTGTAATTACTCCCAAATAACAAAGAGGACTAGGATAAATGTGAGCATGGGTTTCAAGTTTTATCATTTTTCAGACTACACTACTCCAATCGATGATCTCAAAATTCCAAACTGTAACAATTCAAAGTCTGTCCTCAGTTTCCCTTTTCCAGATCTGGGTTATTACTGAAAACTTTAGAATGTTTTTTTTGGTAAGTTTTCACATATTTTTACAAATATGAGACCTTTCTTAAGAAACTGATGCATCACTTCATTGAGGAATACCAATGTTAACTACATACTAAAGCTAGTAGTCAACTACAAAACTACTAACAACTGAAAATGAGGAAAAACATCCTTCAAGATGGGAAGGTAATTCTTCAAGAGTTACTGTACGTAAGGATCTAGTTTTATCTTATAAAAAGGACTTTACTCACTATTTTGGTGTTCTACAGCTGAGAAATTTGTCTTTAAGATCCAGATCGACATCAGCCATCTTTGTGTTGGGCAAAATTATTTTTATCTACATCAGAAAAAATACCCTAGGATGTTTTACTTGTAATGCAAACATAGTTTCAGAAAACTACATGTACACAACTTTTGCAATTACTAAATAACATTTTTTTTTTGCAGAACCAAGCACAAAGAAAGAGATATTTGCAACACAGAAAAGGCACCTTTTCCCTCAATGTGTTTTCTGCAAGCCACAGTTTCTCAGCATCATTGTGATGGAATAAACACATTTCTGTGTGGAGTGACTAGCAAATGTCTCTATAATAACAAATAACTTATCTACGAGTCTCAACATGCAGGATTCCAGCCCCTGGCTCTAATTCCGCAACTTTTACAGCCCGCAAAAGAGAACTTCGATTCACCCTACTTCTTTGGCATTTTTCCCAAGAGGCAACTTTGTGCTGTAACACAAAGGAACCCACCTTGCATTTTGGAATGTTGTTCCATGTGAAGTTAATGATGGCCTGCATAATGGTATTGAACCTATTCAAACGATGCAAAGCCAGTACTAGGTTCCGGTGAGTTAGCTATGTAACAGATTCATATCTGAAGTATTAATACTCACCACCATGTCTTCACAGCTGACAGAACTAGGTGTCTTGTTGCTCATCTGTAGGAACATATCCTCTGTTGTTACTGCTTGCTTGAAAATGATGTCATATCTGGACAGACGGAAAGATGAATCGGAAGACATTCCAAACTTAAAATGTTAATTTATTCATTCTAAACAATTACACACAACCTCTATGACAACACAAGCACATAAGAATTTCTCTTATCTCTTGTATGTGGCTACAACAACAATTTAATGAAATGCATTAGCAACACTAGAACATTCATACAATTCATCAACATCAGGATAAGACCTCGAAAAAAGACAAAAGATACATGTAGATGTTCAAATGACATCATTCGGGTTTTGGGCAGTGCTGTTTTGACTTCACATATTGAGCTTTATTATTACACACTTAAAGTCTTCAACTTGCCACAAGTGAGCTTGTGTGGGATCATGATAGGGCTAAATATTATCGGGGGTGGGGGCTGTCAATGCCCTAGGGGTCAAACCAGTGAACACATTATTGCAACTTGAACCACACCCATTTTTAATGTATGGCAATGGTAATGCTGGAATCAGAAGAAATGGAAAGTTGGCAGAATAGCCACCGAGCACTCATAATTAGTAGAGTGTGCAAATATGAACTGCTTTGAGTAGTGTAGTCAAATCAGCCTCCTGGGGGTCCATGGAGTATTCTATTTCTCCTGAGGCAAAGCCGAGGGTATACCATGATATGAACCATCAATATTTGTTTCATACAAGTACCAACTCTCCCTTGAATTCAGCGGTAACTTATTAACTTAATCTAAATACAATTACAAGGTACTGTCATCTGAATACTGCATTGAAAGTGCACTAGCATTTTTCCAAAATACCTGTTTGCGCTAGCGTAGCACTAGGGCTTGGAAACACATGCAACAGGTGTAGTACTTTTGGCTATTCACAGCAAGAGAGCAAAAATAGCTAATGCCATGTGACTAGATTTCCACCAATCAAGACACAGAATCTATGGGTGAGTTATTTATAAAACAGACTAGTGGTGCACCTTTTACTTTATTTGCACTGACTTACTCTGGTTGAAGCCGAGGGTCATCAATGTCCTCATATTCTGCTCCTTCTGACACCTCCTCTGCATCCCAGATATCTTTGGTCTCCTTCTTCGGAGGTTCTTGATATTAAACAAAGTAGAAATGCTTCATTTGAGAGACTAAGTAAGGAAAAACTACTCATACAAGCATAATGATGTTGGCTTTGAGCTGGCACTTTGATTCTGAGGATGAAGATAACGAATACACATTCTTTCAGTTTGCATTCAAGTGAATAACGTTGAGCATATGAATATTACAATACTCAGTTCATGGGGCAAATATAGCATTTCCAAGACCATCTCTTGGAAACCTACTGTCAACATTGCATACAAATACCACAACTGTCTAAAGGCAATTAACCTACCTTTACAGATTCCATCTATGAATGAACAGTAAACCCCTGAGATAGAGTTAAACTACAAATTATGCACTTACTCACAGAACTTTGAATTTGATACACCCTTCATCTGCAGGAAAGGCAACGTCATTTCTACAAGCATTCCACAAACTGCTTCTCTCCGTCTACAGTTCCAAAAAGAAGAGCAACATTTTCTTACGTTTTGGTGCAGCTTGAGTCTTGGCAGTTTGACCAATTGCTCCCGGACCTAGTTTAGCTGAAGCTGTTACTGGCTGTGAGGTAGCAAACAAGAAAATGGCACAGAAAAATAGCTAAAATCTATAAAATAAAACCGTGTAGTAATTGACATTTTGTGGCTAAGGCTTTCGCTTTTGCTATTGGCACGTTAATCATGACAAGGCTCATTTGGACATGGAGTAAAGGACAACTCATATTTGTAATAAACGTGTTGACATGACAACAAACCTTCCAGCTGCAAATTTGCAATGGCTGAAAATGTTTTCATCACCCGGACAGTACCAAATTAAATGTTTTCCAGTATTAAATTCTTGTTGTCTCAGGAATTTTGCTGCGTCTTTCAACTTTGGGGTCAAATTTGCCTTCAAATACAGTGCATCAAATTTGTGCCTACCTGAATTTGTTTTCCCATTGAGAATTACAAAGCCAAAAGTTGTCAGTGGAGATAAAGTGCCTTCACAAGACATGAGCCTTACGCATTAACATAAGTAATTGACCCACCTTGTCATCATCATCACTCTCTCCTTGGTCGGAAGGTTTCAGAAGCTCAGCAAGGGCATTTATCCCTCCGACAGGTAGGTCCATCTTCAGCTAAAGTGTGCAAACTGCTGCTATAAGAAGCCACCACACCAACAAATCATGGACAACCTCATCTGAGGAGGGGGGTGTATTATCAGGATTTCCTTAAGTCACTCACAAAAATATGCATTTTTTTGTGTGACAGCTATATGGATGGCTGATAAGATTGTGGCATGAAAACTAGTACATCACGTGCTACGGGGGTGAAAAAAACTGCATTACTGTCAAGAAATTTTCTTGACTAATTCCTGACCTAATGCAGCACTCAAGCCTGATGCAAAGACACTTGCAAATTTCTGGATGTTATGACCATAAGGGCTGGAGTTACTCAAGCTTAAGAGGAAACTCTGACTGAAACAGCCAACAACATCGTTGGTTTGTTTAGTCAGAGTTCCTCTGCTAGACCTGTTCAGCAATTTCACCTTTGAAAAAGCATTTCTCATGACAAATTCCACACATGGACATTACTTTTTTTCTCCAGTGACATGTCGGTGGTGTTCCATACCTGCTATCTCACATTCCGGGTTATGAATCATGCATTGCCGTGAGTTTTGAATCTGGCATCTCATGCTATGAATCTCTTAAATTGTTTTCACTGATGGCATACATGTACACATGCACTTTCGCCATTGCTGTGCTATAGCCACAGTGCATTTCCCATCATGTATGGTATATTAATTTCTACTGTCATCTACATGTATATCTGCACTGATACTCAGCAAAGTCCACCTCTGGATATAAACACTGTTTGTGACACTTTGTTGTGTAACTTCGTGTAGGCCTAGGCACATTAGCAGGCCTAATATTTAAGGTGAAATGTGAGATTTGAAACATACAAAAGATTCATAACACAAGATGCAAGATTCAAAATGCTGGCCAATGGCTACGCTCATGATAGTCCTATAGTAACTTGGACTCTACGAATTCGCCTTTTTTAACATTTGAACATGGTCGGCCGATTTGCCCAAACAAGTCCAAATGTTATGAAAAAAAGACGATTTGTAGATTCCATAACGTGAGGCCTAATTAATTGTATTGTAGGCCTAACACGACATGTGAGCATGGTCTGATGGTGAGAATGAGACAATGGCAGATGCATAGCAAGATGGATGGTCAAAACCAAAAATGGCAAAAATCTTTTCTCCTAACGCGCATACATATATGTCAGTTACGATTCGAAGTTCAGCTGGATCATGAAAAGGGACCAGTAGTCTGGAAACAAATTGCAAAATTTGATTACCATAGAAACGACGCTACTTTACTTGGTACTTGCACACAAGAACAGCACACAGCACGCAACTTGGAAAACGCCCTCAAGTGTTGACTAATTTCATGTGATGCGACGGCAAGCGCGCTGCGTGGGGCCATCAGCGGCGTTTGTTTTAGTGTTGCAAGATATATCTGGGGAGAGAAAAGAATTATTTCCATGGTTCCGACCAGATAGCGTCGCTCCCCCATGTGTGTGAGTGGGGGGGGGTACTATACTTCATATAGTGTTCCTAGTTTTAATTTTTGCTAAGGCTTAAAACTTCTTATTTAAAGGTGGTAATAGGCAATTGTTGGTTGTCAAACAAGTCAGTTTGTGCGTTGCGGATGCATGATGATACTTAGGGCACTGCACATAGCAATTTGTGCCGAAATACCGTGGAGACAGAACAGGCATTTCAACGTGCAAATCAATATATCAAGAAACTAAATGTGAATGCAAATATAAAATTTGACAGAAATTCATTTCATTGCATCATAAAAACTTCCGCCATAAACCAGCAAAACAGTACTTGTGTTACTTATGATTTCAAAGATTTGTTTATTCACTGACAAAGGGGGAAATCAGAGCAAAATTTCTGGGGGGGGGGCAATTATAGAATTTTTCCTGTGACCTTTTATGGTCTTTCGTGAGTATGAGGCTACATATCGGACTTTTCAAGCTTTTGAAAGAAAGGAAAATGAAACAGACCCGAAATGATATAGCCTTTCTCATTTTTAGAAAAAAAATTCGCCCCCTGTTCCGGCCATAAAAATGGGTCGATCATGTAAAAACATTGACGACCAATGATGTAATAAAAATCGGCCTATATTAACACCAAACTGACGGATTATATAATGACAAAGATAGGGCCTAATGCATTAACCACATATTTGCTAGAATTTTACATCCTCAATTATGGGGGACTTAGTTTTTGTTAGAGTTTTCGTTGCCAATCCAACCCATCTTAATGTCTTGTTGACCGGCTTTTAACCTAGGTTTTTTCCCGAAAGATTATTGTCCATGACATTTCCTCAAGACCGATAATGAGTCAACTTCAAACTTGGTATGGGCTTCAGTCTTGGACCCCCCCCTCAAAAAAGAAACCTGACTTGCTGCCCTTTGAAATACGGGGGGGGGAGGTGCTTCCTAGCAAAAGTCCGTGCATGCCCCACCACCACTCACCATTTGGCATTTTAAAATGTGTGCAATCTACATGTACAAGCCCATAGTTCAATGTGCCCCTTGTGAAAAAATTGTGCACCCTGGCTCATCAGGTGCCTCTAGTCAATTTCATCACAGTTGATAAGCTGAAGGGGATGGGGGTTGTAGCATTAGTTTACTAAGGGGGGTGTACCATAGAGGTGAAACCAAAATATGAAAGGGTTATATTCTAAGTTTATTTACAAACAAAACAGGAGTAAAAGGAAATGGTACATATCTCTTTTAAAAAAAGGGGGGTACTCATGATCCATCCCTTAGGGTTTCGCTACCAATGGTAACCTTTTATGAGGGCATCATTAATTGGAAAAATCTTGACAACTTCACGTTTTAAAGATACTNGGTCGTGGGTCCGATTTAGTATTGTGGCCGACTTGACATGGGTCCGAGTTGGTCGTGGGTCCGAGTTGGCAGGGGTCCGAGTTGGCATGGGTCCGAGTTGGTTTGGGTCCGAGTTGACTCGAAACCTTATTTGTAGGCCTAACAGTAACACGACATGTGAGCATGGTCTGATGGTGAGAATGAGATCATGGCAGATATAGATGCAAGATGGATGGTCAAAACCAAAAATGGCAAAATCGTTTCTCCTAACGCGCATACATACATGTCAGTTGCGATTTGAAGTTCAGCTGGATCATGAAACGGGGCCAGTAGTCTGGAAACAAAATGCAAAATTTGATTACCATAGAAACAGATCTATGTGGACGACGCTACTTACCTGCTGGTGCTTGCACAAGAACCGCACATGCACAGCACGCAACTTGGAAAACGCCCTCAAGTGTTGACTAATTTCATGTGATGCGACGGCAAGCCGCTGCGTTGGGATCAGCGGCAGGTGTTTGTTTAGTGTTGCAAGATATATATCTGGCGAGAGAAAAAATTATTTCCATGGTTCCCACCTGACAGCGTCGCTCCCCCATGTGTGTGCGTGTGTGTGTGTGGGGGGGCACTATACTTCATATAGTGTTCCTAGTTTTAATTTTTGCTAAGACTTAAAACTTCTTATTTAAAGGTGGCAATTGGTTGTCAAACAAGTCAGTTTGAGCGTTGCGATGCACGATGATACTTAGGGCACATAGCAATTTGTGCCAATATACAACTGAAGACAGAACAGACATTTCAACGTGCAAATCAATATATCAAAAATCTAAATGTGAATGCTAATATGAAATTCGACAGAATTTCATTTCATTGCATCATAAAAACTTCCGCCATAAAAAAAAACTTGCCAGCAAAACAGTACTTGTGTTACTTTATTTCAAACTTGTTTATTCAACAAAGGGGGAAATCAGAAGAATTTTCTGGAGGGGGGGGACAATTATAGAATTTTTTCCTGTGAACTTTTATGGTCTTACGTAAGCATGAGGCTACATATCGGACTTTTCAAGCTTTTGAAAGAAAGGAAAATGAAACAGACCCGAAATGATATTGCCTTTCTCATTTTTAGAAAAAAAATTTGCCCCCTGTTCTGGCCGATATGTAATCGATCAATTGTGTAACACCTGCTGATGATGCCATAAAAATTGGTCGATCATGGATAAACCCTGACCACCAATGGTGTAATAAAAATCGGCCTATATTAACACCAAACTGACAGATTATAAAATGACAAAGATATGGCCTAATGCATTAACCACACATTTGCTAGAGTTTTACAACCTTAATTATGGGGGACTTAGTTTTTGTTAGAGTTTTCGTTGCCAATCCAACCCATCTTAATGTCTTGTTGATCGGCTTTTAACTTGGGTTTTTTCCCGAAAGATTATAGTCCATGACGTTTCTTCAAGCCCGATAATAAGTCATCTTCAAACTTCGTATGGGCTTCAGTCTTGGACCCCCCCTCAAAAAAGAAACCTGACTTGCTGCCCTTTGAAATACGGGGGGGGAGGTGCTTCCTAGCAAAAGTCCATGCATGCCCCACCACCACTCACCATTTGGCATTTTAAAATGTGTGCAATCTACATGTACAAGCCCATAGTTCAAAGTTGTGCACCCTGGCTCATCAGGTGCCTCTAGTCAATTTCATCACAGTTGATAAGCTGAAGGGGATGGGGGTTGTAGCATTTACTAAGGGGGGTGTACCATAGAGGTGAAACCAAAATATGAAAGGGTTATATTCTAAGTTTATTTACAAACAAAGCAGCAGTAAAAGGAAACGGTACGTATCTCTTTTAAAAAGGGGGGGGGGTGCTCATGATCCATCCCTTAGGGTTTCGCTACCAATGGTAACCTTTTATGAGGACATCATTAATTGGAAAAATCTTGACAACTTCACGTTTTAAAGATACANGGAAACAATACTTCGGGGCATGGGATCTGATAAAGGGGTTTATTTCTCAGTTTTGTATTGCTCTGATACAGAGCACAGAGTGTGTTAATGCATAATGGGGGGGGGTTGTATCACTGGGATATAAACTTGAGTAAACCTTTTGTGCATTTCCAAATAACAAAAACAGCCTCTAAGACACCATGGAGATGCCAGCAATGCATAGCCTCTATTTTGGAGTTGGAGGGCAAGGGTTTTGAATCACTAGATAGGCTCAAGTAAACCTTTTGTGCATTCACTGCTAGTCACCACGGCCCCAGCAAGGCATAATAACCTCTAATATCTCTTTCTGATTCAGTGTTTACTAATTGTATATAGTTAAGAAAAATTTACAAAATGAACTTGATATTTCTTAAGCCATTATTATGGAGGCCTCATTAACTACTTCCAACACACATTATAATTTGAATTGGTTGAATTAAGAACTTATTCATACAACTGATACAATTTTCCCATTTAGCTTTCTAAAGATACAGAATGGATAAAAAACCAAAGATCTACATAAACAGTTATTTAAACTGACACCTCAATGGCAGTGTTAATAAACAGTACTGAAGTAGGAGAAGCCAAATTTACAATGATATACTTCTTTGCAACAGAGATGTACACGTATAAATACACGTTATTGAGTATAAAAATCAGTGACTTGAAACGTAAGTTCAAACTTCTACAAATACTTCCGGGTGGATGACCTATTTAATCACACTGAAATTAATTTTCCAGTCCTTGTCTTGGAAAAACTTTAAACTGACACTAAAAGAAAATACATCAATAAGTTATCCTAAAGAGCAATACTTTAAAACAATAGCCCTCTAGTCTATCTCACGTTTTACACGGTGAATTGTTGTGGGGAAGGCATTTCATATACGTCATGTATTGTTGATTACATTATCAGGCCATACACTGAATGATCATCATTGGGTAAAATCAAATCAATAAAGAAAACATCTGTGCGTTTCCTATACGTACCAATACTTTCGACTGTGCGATGGATTTTAATTCATGGTTATTTACAAGGACTAGGTTTAAAAATGAAAACCCATCACAGAAGTGTCATCTGCTCACACCTGATGAGAATACTGAACAAGAAGCATTAGAGAATAGCAAACCACGCTTAACTATCACCCACTAAGCTACAGTGTACCATACCTACCATCATGGATCCATAAAATGAGCTTCGTAAAGACCTTATAACATCACCTGGTGATGTCAAGGTCACTTTATTCTTACAAATTATCGAAGTTATTGTTTAGTTCTCGGCAACAGGTTAATGTCACATTTTCGAAACAATAATATGTTAACATCAGTGGCGTAACTAGGGTACACTTAGCAGAGGGCCCTCATTTTTTGAAAGGGGAGGGGCATGATAGGATGTGAACTACCCCGATCTCATGAAGTGAAAGGTAAAACACTGACCATGGTCAACTATCACCAACTTTTTGAATGCAGGGGGACAATTCAGCACAGTGCCTTGCCTTCTGAAGTAAAATGAAACACAATGTGTGACCCTGTGGAATGTGACAAGCCACAGGTACTATGGTGTTAATGTGGTGTTGGGGTTAAGCAGTGATCAGAGTTGAAGAAACAATCTGAAGTTTTGAAAAAGATCATATCTAAAAAAAATCCATAACAATCCATGTTGAAATATACAGGAATCTTTTCATTGACACGAGACATGTAAACTTGTAAAGTGCCACGAGACATGTAAATCTGTAATGTGCTAAAAACATTCAAACAATCAGCCAAGGCATCAGAAATGGAAATTAATTAGGCTGCCTGCTACAAAATGGGGCTAAACTGAATCACATCTCCAAAAATATGCCAAGTTTACAAGATAAAAACCTCACCTTGAAGTCAATACTTAGTCAAATTTTCCTGAACTTTAAAAGTTTTGAAAGGTTGGTTCCATGAAAGAACATGGGAAAAATACTTAAAAACAAAACTGAATCCTAAAATGGGTGAATTTTTCAATCCTTTGTTGTTACAGAAGAAATCGGGGGGAGGAAGTTGAAATTCTGAGGCTGTTTCAACAGGCCTTTCTATGTACCTTCACATTGTACCTGCCGATAAAGGCCGATGAGACTTAACCCTAACCCCAAGGGTGTATGTAAAATCGTATTGAAATTGGAGGATTTGGGACTGTTAGGTGTAAGAAAAAAATAAGTGTTGTTTCTGAGTCTAGTCCAAGTCAACCTGCACTGCTTGGTCATAGCAGTAGAGATCCTGAGAGTCTATGTCACCCTGAGGCGGCATGGAGGAGCTAGATATGAGAGCAATGCTAGGCTTCTTGGATTCCAAGAAGCCGTTGGACTTCAGCTCTAGCTGGGATGGAGGAGTACCGTCAACGGGTAAGGGATCGTAGCCTGCCTCGATGCGATGCTTGTCCAGGGTAGGACCCCAGTCCCACGTGGGTCTCAGAAGAACCTTGAGCCGCTGTTCAGAAAATATAACAGTTTTGGTGATAAAGACCTCATAACGAGGATAAATGCCTCGCATCTTGACCTAGTTTGGTGAAACAGCTCAAGTTAAACAATTCCTCACATTTTGAACAAGTTTCAAACATTATAAACCACAAAGAGGAAAACACTTCTATGCTGAAAAAACAAATTGAATCACATGAAACTTCATTAGTACATTCCAAATAAATTGAGCGGATAATCTCCAACATAAAGCCACTACCCGGCAGCTTTGACTTGAAAATGTTCTCATCACTCATAACACTTGATAATTTCAGTCCGCAAAAACATCCACTTGGAAAAAACTGCAGTACTCACATCTAAGATAGAGAATGATCTATCTGCTCTGAAGAACACAGCAAAGATAGCATACACTGGAATGGTGACAAAGGAAAGAAGGGTTAGGATCCAGCCCAGCCCCTGAGCCCAAGGCGGGAAGACTTTGCCATCGTATCCAGACGGAGCATAGAATATGAAGCTGGCAATCACAATAGCCTGCAAGCATTAATAGAAAGAAAACAGTGGAAACAGACTATGTAAAGTACTCAAAACATACCTCAGCAAGCTGCACACCCTTCTGATTTTATTTGTTCACAAGTCTTGATAACCCAATGCAATGATACTGTAAGTGGATCAATGGCTGGCCACTATCGGCATGTCATGATTGCACACTTTTTTTGAACACCTTGACCAAAGCTGATGATCCGCTTACATTCGCAAGGTGTGCAACAGGCTTTGCTTAGTGTAAAGAGAATGCTTCATATCATTTTGTCTGACACTCATACTTAAGCTTCAGTCCACTGGCTTTTGCTGGGAGCTTTCCTAATGAATCATGCCGATAGAGTATCTTTTTTTCAAGCCTTGATAATTTATCACGCCAGCTTGTCATTCTACATGACACAAAATGCCCATATTTTCCTGAGAAGATAGAAAGTATTTGGTAAAACAGTTCAATATAAATGCTCCTTTTAAATATTATATTGATTATTAGTGTCTTTAGGGAGGGTGAAATAGGTGCATAGTCTTCTCAATTAAAAAAATCTCATTTAAAGTTCCCAACTCATCAACTGGGTTTTCACCTTAACAATTCTCCAACAGGCGACTGATAGAGGACAAGCAGATTGTTAGGGTTGACGTAGGTCAAATGATATAATAGCTGCTCTATCTACTCTTACCACCAGAGCCAGTGGGGAGAGCACAGCCCAGCAAGCCTTCCAGTAGATATTAGGCAGCGATCCCAGCATAGACTTGATGTCTTGACCAAATCGGTTAAGCCCGTACACGTAACAGATAGCCACACAGTAGCAGATGGAAATGACCATCAGGGAAAACCCACCGGCATAGTCGTTTACGATGGTTAATAAATACAAGCCGCCCTGAATGAATTTAAATCACACAAAGATTTGCCTGAAATCTAGAGATTATGTCCCAAAAACTGAATTTCCACTATTGAACAAGCATATATATTAGTCAGGTATACATATTACGATTGTTGACTGCAGTGATGTAGGATGTGCAGTTTTTAACACCCAGGGATGCAATATAACCTGGCCTTCACTTCAGGTGCAATGCGCTGTAAGAGATGTTGAATATGAACCCTAGGTGGGTTAAAAACAGCATATCCAACACCATTTTGTTAATTGTGCTCAATAGCTGTAACTGCATGTACTACCGAAGGTTTGTTGCCAGAAATGGGTGAAACTGAGCAACTGCACTTTTGGTTCTCAATCGTGATTATGAGCCTGTGTGCAGGCCTTACAAGACTGCACGCACGTAGCACATATTGTGGCAATGTGAAGTTAACCACTTTATCCACTTTAGACATATAAAGTGAAGGAGCAAGGTATTTAGATACCTCCTTAAACAATCAAGCAATTCATATTAATGAAATAACTAAAAATGACTAATCAAAGGACTGATAACCAAATCTAAGGGTTTCCACAGTGAACACTGTATCTAAGAAATAGTTGAAAGCAATTAAGGTCATGTTGAAATTGGGTGTTCAGTGGATATAACTTGTATTTTACCTTTAGCACATCAAGGCGAGCAGTTCTTGCCAAGACATCAATGCCTGAATCGATTATAGCTAAATCTACCACCAATACAAGATGTTACTATGTTACTACGACTCACTCCAGGCTCACCTGGGTTACCAGTGGAATCCCAAGCAGAAATCCAATGCAGCAAGCTACCAGTATGATCAGCCACTTCCAGCGTCTGTATTGATAAGGCAGTGCATCCATCACGGCAGTAGTAACCGTTTCCATCATGGCAAACTAGGATTAGAAAAAGGTAACCAGACCTGTTCAACATTTGTGGTCTCCCTTCAAATAAACACCAACGGTAAGAAGTTGCCTCCCCTTTAGTGAGATTTCCTTGATCATACAATATGTAACTCAGCTTACTCTCCAACTCAAAGTCGATAAGATCAGCAACTCAAGAACAATGGCAAAAAATTAAAAAGAGAACTTTAACCTTCCATCAATTCCAGTACCATGGACTGTATAGTTATATCTGATGCTCAATCACAAGTATTGCGAGCATGCATTCAAACATGGTGAGATTTTGGAGTAAACTAGATTGAATTGAAGAATTGAAGAATTGAAAAGGATATATATCGGTTTTTACATTTTCAAGTCAGAAGATGGCATTCCAAAGTGCGGAGGCAAGTTCTGGCAATTTGTGGACCTATTCAGAGGTAAATTTCATAGAGCCACTGACCTAAAAAATTTTGTTACGCACTGAAAATATCTGCTCAGCAAAAAATGGTTGCAAGCCAGGTGATCATGTATTGATTATATTTTGTAGCTTCGTTGTTACTTCGCTCACTTTTGCTTGGCACATACATTTGCTAAGTGATGCGTCTGTGAAAATGGGCCCAGAACTTTCAAAGTGAAAACAAAAAAGGTTTTTTTTTTTTTTTTTTTTATTTTTAAGTGCAAGATATGAACTTCTTTTGTGCATTTACCATACTGTCCAGACCAAGTGTCAGAAGCATTAAGAAGAAGAGGACAGACCAAAGCTGTGGAACAGGCTCCATCTTAGCTAGGGCTTCTGGGTAAACAATGAACACCAAGCCAGGACCTGAAGGAAAAGAAAATGGGAGTGACTCGCAACACAGCCCACCAAACAATTGCCTAAAAAAAGTCACTTTACACCTCCAAAGTCAACATTTTCCAAGCACATTGTTTCCTACTCACTAGCTTTTCTTGACTGTTTCCATGAGAAAAAAAATTACAAATCAAGGTTGTAAATGCACTCATTATCGACGAATATTTTCACACAAAAATATCAACCTACTTATGGAAGGGGCTGGTTAGAATCACTCCATTCTGAAAACACAGACCGATGATAGCTACCATTCGCATAAAACTTCAAAAGTACACAACACAAACATACCACTTGCGGCCACTTCGTCAATTTTTCTGTTGCTGTCCTCCGCCATGAAACCAAGGGTGGAAAATACGACAAATCCTGCTAGAATGCTGGTTCCACAGTTACAGAGAGAGACAATCAGAGCATCCCTGGAAAAAAAACAAGACAATAAAGACTGAGGTCTTAATGCAAAAACAGACATTAAACAATTCTGAATTTGCCAAGGGGTGGAGGTGGGGTACTAGACCCAGAGATGTTCCCACACAAATTTTATTTTTGCCATGTGTGATATAAATATAAAATCCAGTGTGTCCCACTATTATTCCAAAGTTAGTATCACCGACAGAAAATAATACTAGTTCATGGGCTCATGTTCGCTTGTCTTTCAGACATTTTGTGCAAGCATGTTTGCTTTTATTCACACAAATAAGATCAATATCAACGGGAGAAGTTAGACATCAACATGCAATGTCATCTTCTGATGCTGATCCCCACAATTTACACATGTATTTGCATATACATGCATGTGTATCTGCAGGACTTCTGTTGCCGTTGGGAAAGTAGTTTTGTAATAATGAAGTATGTATGCTGCAGTTTCATTTTTAAATTACCTCTGGCAATTATTATGGAATCTATTGAAGCTGGCCATGGTTGTCAGTGATCCAAAAGAGATTCCCAGGGAATAGAATATCTGGTTGGCTGCATCCTTCCACGGCTAGAGATGACAAATATAGACAACAGAGGATAAACAAATAATGTCAAACTAGAACTTTTTTACTAGGCCACAAATTCTTGTACAAAGGAAAGGAAAAGGAATTGCCATATTTTTCACCAACATACTTATGAGGATTTTAAAATGAGTGATGACAAGAAGCTAAGCGTGCCCTTCTTATGCATCGCATAAAATATCTATGACAAAATATATTTCACATTCGGAGCATCTCCAGGAATTTTTTCAGGGGGGCCAAGCACTTGTTTATAGGGGGTTGATTTTTTTTTGGGGGGGGGGAAACACTCATGAGCAATAAACGGAAAAAAGATTAACAGAGGAAGGGGGAAAATTTTGAGGTATTTTCAAACAATTGTTTTTACTGGGAGTTCAAATGTCCCCCCCCCATAATGCCCTTACTTCAGTCTCATTTTGTGAAATCTGGTCAAATACTAGTGTATCGATTCAGAGAAACTAAGTTGTTTCTGTGGATACATGACAATTCTCAAACAGACAATACTTGAGAAGTATGGCTAGTGAAGAAATCCTCACTCTTCACATAAGGCGTGTGGACACTTTGAGATACAAGTCTTCACATAATCTCAAGCAAGTGATATCTACGCTGACTGTGGAGTCACTGAAGAGAATATGACACACTTCAGAAAATGGGAATTTAAATAAAATTAACTGTAGTGAGCTTTAAGACCCCCACCTATAATCCAACTCATCTGCTTCCCCTAAACTGTTAATACATGAATAGAAAACAAATCGACCTGGACCAGGTCAGTTCAGAATCAAATCAGAAAGCGAAGAAATCCAATCACAGCAGATTTCTGTGGTTCAAGAGCTCAGAATCAACATCGCCTGCATACACGTATCTGGACACACCAGAGCACATGATTACCTTTGGATCCAGCAGATATTCAAATTTGGGTTTGATGTAGTACTCCACTCCCAGACCTGCCCCAGGCAAGGATGCACCCCTACCCAGCAGAATGATGAGCACCACGTAGGGAAACAAAGCTGTGAAATACACCACCTGTATAAAATAAATGTAAGAAATTCTTAATAAGGATGAAACCACTTTAGAAATGGTTACACAGTCTTTCCTCTCACCCAAGAGTCAGCAATGTTTCCACAAAGTCCATGGAAATATACAGTAAAATCAGTAGCAAATAATCTTGTGTTGGGCTGAACTGCATCACTAATTTCCCTCCTGTACTTTATTTACTTCAGGCAAAATAATCTGTTTCCATGTCCGGAATGTTATAGCAAACCTGCCCAATTTCAAGCTAAGATTATTTAAAGGGTCTATGTAATGTGTTTTTTATTATTTCAATTGATAAAGTGTTTCTACCTGAACAAATTTTTGCTAATTTTACCTTTGGTTGCACCGCCTTGATATCAATAAAAAAATGAAAACATGTTTCAGGGGTGACCAACACGCCCCGCCTATCTCCTCATTAACATAGGAATGTGTGACGTAAACTCCGGAGATCAGCATACTTTCCCGGTTATACGTGGCAGCTTGATTGGCAGCGTCACACGCACTTCTTGTAAAGTTTCTTGAGAATTTCGCCGCACTCCTTCACGAAAATAACATATTTTTTTCAGAATGCCACTGACCTGTATTGTAGCTGGTTGCAGCAACACTACCAAAGATGGTTTTAGTCTGCATCGTTTTCCATCTGACCCAAGATTTCGACGAATTTGGACGGCGAAAGTGAAGCTGACCCGAGCCAAGTGGTACAGAACCGCTGTCGTCGTCACCTCTCATAGGCTCATACATGTACGGCCGAACCCCTAACTCCTGCCTTTCATAGCCACTTTCACCAGAAATCTCTCCACTTTCATCTGAAGAATCTGTTGCGGAAAGTTCTCCGTCTCCAGCAGTTGAATATGACGACAAATTGGCCATGTCCACTTGATGTCGAGTACAAAGCACGGTACGCACATGTACACACGCACGCACACGCACTAGTTACACGCGGCATCCAGCTGCCATGTTAGCCTGGTACCCACAACGCAACCTGGGTACCAGACCATCTTGACTGAACTCTTGATCTCCGGAGTCAACGTCACAAACAGCGCCACCGCGCGCTCTATTAAATAAGAAATTTAAATCCCTAATTTTTTAAATTCTAATTTTACATACTGTAGACCACTCACGACTAAATAAAAGCATTTTATTTGTACAAAGAAGTTTTAAAGACACCTCCAAAACTCATTTAATAGATTAAAAAATTTAATTCTGGCATAGACCCTTTAATAAGTCAATGGTAGGAGGTATTTTTGTCTGCACAGTGATGGTGATGGAAAGATATATTGTTGCACATGATATTTAGATATAAGCTGTAAGGATCAGAACCTCCAGATGTGATCCTAGCTTGAACTTACCTTGCCCGATGACTTGATTCCCTTGAAGACACACAGATACACGATGAGCCAGGCTAGTGCCAGACAGCCAAGCAGTTCCAGCCTTATACCACCTATGTCATGGATTCCTTCCGTCAACTGATGAACCTGACGACTACAAATCAAGCCAAGAAAAAAAGGGGAAAATGTGAACCAATTTCAGCTCTACTAACCCAAAATCCCTTTAACACTTCAACCAAAAACTCTTTTCAAGCATCCACGTCATTTCTTTCCATTTCACACGGGTGAGTCTCAAATAAAGAAAGTGTCTGGGCTGTACCTTCCTCAAAAATCTTTAGGTTGAATTTTAAAGGATGAGGTATTGCAAGAGTTGACACTGAATCTAGAATTTCAAGCCATTTTAAATAAGCACTCAAACAAACTAAAAGTGAACAGCTGACTATCTGGTTCGTAAGTGTGACGTCACTTCAGTTTAAACCACGCCCACATGCACTGCACATAGAGTTACATGCATTAATCGCGGTTTACATGGAACCGTGGAACCGTAAGTTAACACGCAACTTAAGCAATCATCCAACAGAAGCATGCAAATCATGGCGCATCCGCCTTTGTGACGAAGCCACTTACGAACCGGATACCTTCCACAATCTCATAAACCTTCTCAAAACCTATTCATGGACTTTTAGGGATTAGATATCCCAATAGTTGAAACCAAGACTCTTCAAGCCTTGTTCAAAATGGACCCTTTCACATTTTATCCTTATCTTTGGTATGACAGTATGCATTACCAATAACCAGGTTAAATCCAACTCCTTTCTTTTGGGGATTATCAGGGAGTTCATTCCGAATGAAGAGATTGAATTTTCAACGTCACAATTTAACCTACTGCCAAAATTCATCACTGGGTCTCGTCAGGTTTTCACTCTCTTCCTTGATGTAGTTCATGGACTCATTGTAGCATCGGTCAGTGTTCCATTCATGGCCACAGGTGGACCACGGCAAAGCTTCGGTCGTACAGGATCGGATGAGGTAGTAGATAGTCCAAGCGATGATGACGTTGTAGTAAATGCAAACCAAGGCTGCTATGATGATCATACCAATGCCAACACCTGAAGGCAAAAAGGGGAGATAAGATGTCATATACGGTTGTGGAAAATGAGAGAATGAATGGATGGTATACAAGTCACTTGGGAAGATTAGACCTTGAGAAAAGACCTGATTGTTTGAAAAAAAATTAAGAGTAATTTATTTCTTCAGCACCACATACATAAGACCTGCACTGCAAGCTTTCTAACGGCACAACAAAGGATCCAAAGGATCTTTGGAGGAGATTGTGAAGGATGCATCAGTTCTAGATATGGATAAAAACCCAAAGAATGAATTTCAGGAAGACTGGTAAAAATAGACAATAACAATTTAACACAACGCCTAAAACATGCCGGACAATAACCAGGGATCAGTGTTAAGGAAAGTACAAGAACACTGGTGCCAACCTAACTGCAGCAGATATACGTTAGTCTAGATATCAAAACTGATGAAAGGAAGACACACAAAAATTGTAATTGACAAGTTATATCATAAGTCATAGTAACAAGCTGAAGAGGAAAATCCTCAGACATCAGATTTGGCTCCTTCACAAACTGTTTCGCTTCTTTGTTTTATTTTTTTTATGCCGGCTTCTTGGATGTTGGTGTGTGTATCTTGTTTTCAATGTTTTAATTTTTTTGTAACTGTAGTAGGCTGTTAACAATCTTGGAATGGAAATACTGAAGACAGAGTACCGGTATTTTCTACTGCAAATTCAAGACTGAAACCTGACATGAAATTGAAAACAGAGAAACTTGAATTCAGAAATTAGAAATGAGAAATTTGACCTCCAGTATCTTGAATGATGATGTTTTTGTTTAAATACCGCAACACTAAAATAAATGAGTTGTCATTACCTGTAAAGAGTGGACTGATCTTCCATACGGCAATGGCTCCCAAGCTGGCAAACTGGCCAAACGCCAGCTCCAAATAGAACAACGGTAGGCCAGCCACAAACAGCATGATGACATATGGAACTAGGAATGCACCTAGAATACAGGAACATTTTTCTCTAGTTACATAATTGTAAACCTGTTCGATAAACATACTTCAATTTCCTGTTTGCTATACAAGTAATAAATATGCCAGTAAATTTGATCCTATTTCCCAGGCACTAATTAGACAGCCTGATGAGCGGGATATGACGGTGCCATGTTTGGTCACCATGGTGCTGTGGGTACAAGTTAAATAGTCAACAAACTGCATTTTAATTTTCAAAGTTCAAAAACAAAGCTCTTTCATGTGAACATGTCTTTTAAAACTGAAAAAAGTTAGACGGTTCACACAAAAATTCCAACCTTGGAATCAAGAGGTTGGTACTCGTACCTAACCAGCTTAACCAATGGATCATGTAAACTCTTTTGGGGATCCTCTTTAATTTGGAATGCTTCTTCTAACACAGATTTGTGAGTCTACTTTTGTGAGCCTTCGACAAATAAGAATAGCCGCTAGATCTGTTCACAGGGGTTTTATCTTGGATTAAAATATCTGCCTGTTCTTCCCCAGGCAAAACTGCCAGTCAACTCCCTACCAAATGAGTGAAACTGGTACCCATTGGTGCTATGTGAGCCTACTGTATTTGTCTGTGCTTTGGATGGAAAAAAGTAACATTTATTCACCAGAGCACAGTACTGAATCATTTTAGCCTGTCTTAAGGCCAGATGAGACACAGGGTCTCCCCGGATGAAATATCCCTAACATTTGAAGCTTCCGACAAACTTACCGCCGCCGTTTTCATAGCACAGGTACGGGAATCGCCAGACATTGCCAAGGCCCACAGCGAAGCCAATACAGGACAGAATGAAGTCTAGTTGATGGCTCCACTTCTCTCTCTTTCCCTCATCACTGGACCCCGAGCTGTTGCCGCTACTGCTGGAGCTATCATCTGTCCCTCCCTTCTTGATGCCATCAATGCCACTGCTCGACTCACTGAAATGTTGCAGCTTCTTCTAATGGGTGGAAGACAAAAACAGATTTTTCAACTAGCTACAAAAAGTATCAAGTTCCTTTTGATGAGTTACTTTTATTCTCTTCTCATAACATATTTCTTCAAGCTATACGGTAATAAAATGGTTAGGAATGGATTTTTGTGAACAAAGTATGTGTTGCGCATCATCCATAGCTATTACTGAACATAAATACATGTCAAACAAAAATCCACTACGTGTTATCCGCCTCCAACCCCCCCCAACAAAAAATTCCCTCACAGCCCGCTTATTAAAAATGCAGGTCACAATCGCATATTTATCCATCCTAAGCATACAGAAATACTGCAATTTGTTTTCTCACACTCTGACTACAACCCACCAACATAGAAGTACAGCAGATTATCCTGCAAGACAAATTGGAGCTGCACTTCTTGAGATTTGGTACACTTGCAATTTTGCTTGGATTTTAAGGTTAATGTCAATCAAAAGGAAATTCCCATAAATGACTCACCACTTGATCAGGAATGGTAAATTAGATGCAAGTTTCTAAGAACAGCCCTGTCAGAACACTGTGCTTAGAAAAATAAGGAAGTTCAGGAGCAAAGATTCAATCAATTATCAGCTTTTTCATATGCCAAATTAAAGTAACATCAAAATTTTGTGTAGGTTAAAAAGACAAAGCCATGTTTTGTAGAGCATTACTTTGGAGAACCAAATTTCTGATGGATAAAATTCTTATTAAATGATTCTGGCTATCACGAAGGAGGAATTTCTAGGAATCACTGCAGATTTGTAAGAAACAATTGTATACATGTAGGGATTTGCTGTTTTCTGCTAAGGCAGTTGCCCATACAACACAAAACAGGACTGCACAAGTGGATTTATGTGTGTCTATACAGGTTTTTCACATGACATAACATGACGAGCAAAGGTATTTCAGGAAGCGCACCATGACTGAGGAGACATGTGGATTTATGAACCTGTGTTTTTTTATTGCGTTCTATTGCTTTTTTGTGCATATCTGTGTAAAGTGAATGCTGACTGTCAAAAATAATGTGATTGAATATCTTCTATAATTGGATGTAAAGTGTGCCGCGTTTCATTTTTTCTGAGGCCATATATCCATAACAAATGTCACAAAAGCAGAAGATGGAGCCCTAATTTTCATCTCAAAGAGAACTTCAGCATTTAGGTAAAAACCAATTCATGGTTGAGAAGTAAAGTTTTCCAAATGTGTGTAAGTGGTAGCACATTTATGTTGGGATCAAAGGTACCAGTACCTGTTGAAAACCAGCTTCTATCAAGGTGGGCCTAGAAAAAATTGACCTGAGAAAATGTACAATATTATTGTTTGCATGTGTTATTTGTAGCACAAGGCCAAAGGGACAAAATGGACAAGCACAAGATAAACTTTGAAAAGCAGTTATAACACCTGCTATTTGAAGAGGGTACTCTCTCACCATGCACACACACCCCTTAAGGCCACAAGGAACTGTTTGCCAACAAACAAGATATGATAAGGCCATTTTGTATTTCATGTTCAATAGTCAAGTTGGACCACAAAAATTGGCAGGTTTTATGATGTGCAAATCCCACTGTAAATAACACATACATGTGATGAAATCATTTTCCCTTATTCCTAATTTCAGGTGCATTAGCTTTGTGCACATTAGCACATACATGTAAGAGACTAAATGTGACCATGGACTCACTTGGCAGAAATCCAATGCTACACAGCTTTTTTCACGGCAATCGCGCAAGTTAAGAGGCCATGAAATGCCCTGGACTGGTGCAGAATATGAGGAAAAATTGAACTTTGGCATCATGTCAGGATGCTCTTGAAAATGCCTGATGGAAAATGCCGTACAGAAAAGTTTGCAGTAGAAAGAGACAAAACGGCGCTAATCCATGACACTGTTGTCAGATTGGTGAAATGATGATCAGTTACATGTATAAAAAAACTTTTAGACAAATCTTCCTTGCGTGCACATAACACTGACTGGAGTGCATTTAAAAATCTGATTTGCACATCACTGGTAACCAGATCATCCTTGGCAACAATGTTTAGTAATATGTACCAGTGGCGTAAATAGAAGTTTCACATTTCATTATTTACACACGGTATGCATAAAATACAGAAAGGAAAATCTGTATTTTCTAACCTTCCAAGGAGTGCTCATTACAAATAACCATTCTCACAGGATAAAATAAACCTTTATCACAAAAATAACTGTTGGGCTATAATGTAGTAAACAGTGGAAGAAGTATCACAAACAAATCATGTTAGTGTTGGTTTAGATTTTTAAAAAACCAATAATCAACAATATATCATCTTGAAGGACAATGTAACCGATAGCGAATTACCTGTTACCAGTTAATTTATCAACCGACAACAAAAAATGACTGATAATTTATTGGTATAGAGAAAAGGTTGACAATTTTGTTTGCCGGACAAAGAACTGCTTGAAGCATTTGAGCATGCACACATTCATGTTACATGTAGCTCGAGTGTCTCAAAGACCCCGATAGGAGGCACTGGGTACCAGGCACTAATTGTTCCTCAGTGGTGGGTCTGGCTCTTGAAATTTGGACGAGAACATTTATGGGTTCCATCAAGCTTAAAGCCGCACTATCCATTTTTTTTTAAATATCCATTTCTTTTCTAAACAAACTTTGAGGAATGTCATTTAACCAATAAATTTGCTTGAATGCATTTGAATGCCTTTAAACAGGTGAAAAGGTACCTTTCAAATTTGTGTTAATGGTACACAACAGGTCAAAAACGTTTACACGGGCAAGTATATAAATGCTACACGTATGTCCATATCTTGCTCTATGACAGAATTAGTAGCAGTACACTCCTACATGAAATTTAAAATTGAAATTAAGTTTTTTGAGAAGCTTCTGATTGGGGAGAATTAATTATTATTTCTTGAACATTATGAAGTCAGGCAAAAAAAAAATTTCAAGTTGCCACGCCCCAAAAGCGTGGGCAGATACTGAAAGTCAGTGGGTGGATAATTAATTACCAAATAAGAAAATAAAGAGCCCACTTTGCACTACCAGAAATTTTTTTAAGGTTCACTTAAATGGGACATTCATTATAACCTCAAAACTGTAACGGTTATCAATACAAACCTAAGATTTGAAGGATAATTGCACCTGACTTAGTTTATTATTTAACCCTAACACTCCTCAGTCCTCCAACAGGTGAAGGATTGAGGAGGGTTAGGGTTAAGGAAGACTGCCACATAAATCTAAACCAATAACGGATACACTTTTACATTCTATCTTTTGTGATGACAGCTCAAGTCAATGATCATTTCTGCCCCCAAGTTTTGCTATACACATGCCGATCAATAATGCATGAACCAAAATGGTTGAAATAATTTAATCAAAAGTACGTAAATAAGGTGTTGTGTTCTGGAGCAACTTCTCTCAAAATTAAAAACTTTAATTTCTAGCCATTCTTGTTCCATATTTAGCCGCAACATTGTTTATTTGAATGTGATCTACAAAGGCACTTAATCAACTTCAATTAACCTGCAACAGTCACACCTTTTCCCAATGCTGATCCATTGTTGATTCTTGATATACATGTAAGTGGTTGACACAATATCTGCTACAAGGTGACAGTACATTTGTTGGTCAGATCTTTTCAATTACACAATCTATCAACAGGTGATAAATGATCAGCTGGAATTTCCACTTTAGAATTCATCGGCCGGTTGGTGATACTGGCAGGTTATTCATCAGTTACTATACATGTATTATCAGTTGTAACACGGGTGGAGTAAACAGAGATCTTTTTTGAGAACTTGCCGATGGAGTTCTCAAATTGTTGAAAGTACAGCATAAGCTTTAGCCTAGATTTAACTTGTGCAGCTGAACACAGCCCTAGCCAAGACGAAGGATAGCTTAGGCTAAATATTCTGGTTTAGGCTTAAAAAACCCTGAATAACAACCCAGGCAAGTTGAGGTAACATCACAAGTACTACCGCAAAGGGGTTACACAACTGAGAAAAGCGATTGCAAAATAATCCCACCGCCTAGTAAAACGTCATGTGAGTTCATAAAATGTTGTGAGCCACAATTCAACCTCATCTTCATCATCCTGTACTGTGCACAAACCTCCACAGCAGGAGTGAGATTGGAGGAAATTTAAAAATCTACGAAATAATCACCAACAGTTTTGTGGGTCCTAAAGAAGTTTACGGTCTACTTCATATATTTGTGTTTGCCTAAAGGTACCCCTTTACTTATTACCCAATTCTTGTGTTTTATATCCTTTTATATGTAAAACGACCAGTGGTGAACTTGGGATATTACTGATTTTAAACACAGATTGCTTGAAGATCCCGAAATTGGGAAAATCATGATATAAAAAATCCTGAAATCTTGACATATCTCACCCAACAGATTGTTTGAAAGACTTGAAATCGGGAAAATCCGGATGAAAAAAATCCGGAAATCACAATAAATACAGACATATCTTACCCCTATGCTCCTGTGACCCACAGGAGTATACTTGCACATTAAGGGGCAAACATGCAGGGGCAGGCAACATTTCATGTTGGAATAAATGGAAAATGTGCAAAGGTGTGGAAAAAAATCCACAAGATTAACATTGCCAATACAGTATCTTTACTTCTTCATGCTTTGAGAAAAATGTTTTCCTAATTTATGGGGTTTTAGACAAAGGGCTGTCTATCTCTTACACGCCATAGGCTGTTTGGACACCTTAGCATGCACATCACACGTTCAAGCACAAACATTCAGTAACTTCAAGCTCGATCTTTTCCATTTTAAGCAGATTTGGATGCACAATTTTCAAATGCTGACAAAAGCGTTGTACAAACCTCATCCATGCTTGTAGTATTCCTACAGTGTATATCCTGCTGGGTATCTCTATGGCTTTTAACTTTTACAGATTGCAAGAACTACGTCCGAGCATGAACTGAGAAAAAAGCAGACCTCTGTAATCTGAAGACTAGACTACCCAGCTCATGTTTACTTAAAGATTGCATTATTCAGGTGTTGAATCTAGTTCACTCGTGTCAATAAGCATGGGAACGTGACCAGCACTGGACAAGTCGTTAGATATCACCAGTACAATGGGCCTTATTCAAATGCTCAGAAGTATGCATTTCACATCACGAATATTAAGTACAGGGCTGGGTTTGTAGAGGTACAAGTACCTAAGTAATGGATGTCATAATCAAATTGAAAATGTACAAAAACGTGCATGTCGTATTATATTGGGCCCTCGTCAGTATCACAGCTACTCCCTTGCCCTGGATGTGTTAGGTACCGGTATTTCTTGTCTTGAAACTAGAAGGGATACCTTATTGTATAACTTTGGTGCAAAACTTTTGGAATCCCCCAGATTTAGAAATATACTTCCACCCCTTAAATTGAACAACACAACTACTAGAATACTCAGAGACAGTTCAACGACTGCACTAGTTGTACCAATGTGTAAAACTGATACATATATGAAATCTACAATTCCAGTTTTAGCTAAACTTTTTGTAATTCATAATAATTTTACTCATATGTGGGAGTGAGAATGTCATTTCATCAACTGTCCTGAATAAACTGTCTTCAATGTTTGTTTTGGGGGTTTTTTTTCTCTGGAACATTAGTTCAGCACAGTAATTATGAATCCCTACTAATTGAGGTTGTCCCTCGGAAACCTGCTACATGTGACACAATCCAAATGCCAAAGATCCTATGAAATGCAATCAGATTGAGTGAGTTTATTACACTATACGTGTACACGTTATGTGTACACGTATCAGGCGAAGCATCAGCCAATGTGTTATGCTACCTTACTCTACAAGGCTATGTGTGTCTCACACGGATCTGGATCATGATCAGTGATCCGTCGTTGGTTTACAGGCGCCAAAACTCGCCTAATGGATGGTGGGAACCAGTGTAAGGATCACTGATCTAGATCACATGGATCTGGTTCATGATCAGCGATCCTTTGATGGTATGCAGACACCAAAACTCGTCTAATGGATGGTGGGAACCAGTGTAAGAATCGTTGATTGAGATCACATGGATCTGGATCACGATCGGTGATCCGTCGTTGGTTTACAGACACCAAAACTCGGCTTATGGATGGTGGGAACCAGTGTTAGGATGGCTGATCGAGATCAAGACCCGTGTGAAACAAACCGGCCCACAGCGCACCAGGTACATGTATTTGTCCACTTGTGATGACTGCTAAATCCAGTAACATCGGGCAACTTTTGTACGCTCATGCATTTTGTTGCATTTAGTAGGATAAGGGACATTACAATTAATAATCCAATAATCCAGTCACAGTGCCTGAATTGTATACCTTAGATAAATGAATCAAGCAGTTAATCAAAAGGCACTGCAAAATCAAAAATGTTTACTGGAAGCACAGAGCGAAATGACACAATTGCAACATATCTCAACAGGATGACATCCCCTTAGCGACGGAGGGATGCTGCGAGCATGGACACTGTCCATAGTAACCGCATCCTCTACATCTCTTTCACACTTCATGTACATTGTACATAGAATGAGGTGTACCAGTACAGTACTTGCATCTCTTGTTTCTTCTCATTACCTGCAGTTTATCTTATTTGTTCCCAAGGTAAAGTATTGCATCTGTGACGTCTCCCTTGAGCCTGAGGGCTCGGATGGCCTCATTTCTGTCTACTTTGATTTTGGACATCACCAAGTTAATGACAGCTGGATCCAAGCCTTCCTCACTCTCAGACACCTCACCAATGGCTTGAAACACGGCCTTGTCTTTCACACAATCTTTCACATTCTGCTCGCTGACAAGCTTCCCTTTGTGTACTAGTTTCAGCTTCTCTGTGGGAATTCGGACCTTCTCGCTGATTTGGGACAACATTGTAGAGGCTTCCCACCCTGAGTTAACATGAATCTGATGCCTGTCTCTTTGGCATTTGACGACGATACTGCAAATTGGTTCTGGGTGAGCTGTAGATGTTTCTTGTGAGTCTTCAGAGATATTAACCTCAGTCTGTGATTGGGGGTGATTTGATGTCTGTTCACCGTCTCGAATACTGACGGCATCTTGCAGCTTTTCTACGAGAAAAGTGTTTGCAGAGTCAGTTTCACCTTCCGTGTCCAGTGTTTTGCTGCAGGAAGATACCTTTCTGGAACAAACCGTCTTGTGTTTTGGCCAGTCCAGAATTTGACAATCCCTCGAACTGCAAACATGAGGCACAGATTAAACAACCAAATGTTTAATGAACATTGCCACAAATCAACAAAAAGCCAACCTGGTCTTCGCAACTGCGGTTTAATGTAGAGCCATGCTTTCATCAAACAGGCCGGAGGTACCAGAACACAGCCTTACCTTTGTTTGTATTATCACCTAAGAACAGTTAAAATTAATTTTCGGGTTTACATCAGATTGAAAATGGTTGCTGGGTAGGGAACTTTCATTTGACGAATATTTCAACATAATTTATGAATTTCACTTCTTAACATCCAAACTGAATTCACAGGCAAAAGCTGTACACATGGAAGAGAACATGAAAACTGGAAAATGCAAAACACCAGTCAGCTTCAAGGAGAGAGCATTCATGGCATTACTACTATGACTAGGCCTTTTTACACGTACAGGTGTGTGGCAACTAAAAACAGGCCTATCAATGAAAGTAAGAATTCCCCTGTGAGTGGTTACATTTTTTCTTCAAATGACTCTGATCACAAAAAAATGGTCCCAGAGCTGGATTTTAAGTGTGTCTTCCATGGTCCATGTAATTCTCACCATCCTTTCCCCCATGCTCTCACTAAATGACTGGGTGCAATGAATGAATTCAAGTGAAAATTTCTGCTCAGCTCATTAGCACATAAGTGTCCCCCCCTCCCCCAGTTTCTGTTGAGAAAAGAGATTGTTTATGGCTGAAAAAAAAAATGGACGGATTGTTGAAATAAGGGCCGGGATCTACTCCCTGGGTTTGGGGGTTTCCATCCAAGGGTCGAGTTGATGAGACTGTGGAGAGAAAAACGGTCCTCGGTGCCCAAGAAAGTAGAGGGAAGCCATCTGAAAATGGATTTCATCAGTTTTGGTTATGATATACAGTATAATCAATCCTTGGGAAGAATTCCATATACGAAGTTCACTGTAATATCGCGTAATTACTACAAAAGTATCCTTACTTTGATCGCCAAATGAAGACGATTCCAATAGGCATTGAAGAGCTGAACATCATAGGACAGAAATGTGGAGTTTTGGGCACACTTTTGGAGCTACACATGGACCAGGTTTACATCGACAGGCGGCCATCTTTGCTTCTGAAGAACATGGCGAATGCACACGACGTGTGCGCATGAACCGAATCATACCCGGAAAGAACCATTATGTAACAGAGG